ACTAATAAATATAGAAACAATATTGTGTTTCTTCTTCGATATTTAACTTTTTTTATCTTTAGATAGAATTAGAATAAACAAACACAGTTTGATACATGTTGCTTATAAAAATTGTAAATCATTATTTACCCTAATCCAATGCACTAGGGCTTTTTGTTTAGTTCCTATTAAGAGCTCGTGTCTATTCATCTTATGTCTCTTTGTATATATTTTGTTGGGTATTAGATGAAACGCTTGACCATTGAAAATGAAGAGATCACGAGTAATAGATAATTATTGGTTAACATGATATTGTGGGTCTTGCGTCCGGCTTCCGATTAAATAAATGTTACGGTAAAAAGCTTTTAACTTATTAACAGAACTTGTATGTTTTTAAGTGGGATTTGATGGAAATAAGGAGGAAGGGATGAGAACGGGGAAAAGAAAGGAAAGGAAAGGAAAGGAAAAGAAAGGAAAGGACACTAAAGGAAAGGAATGGAGTACAAAGGAATCGAGAAAGAAACGAAAAGGAAAGGCGAAAAAAACAAAACAAAACAAAACAAAAATGTGACAGACAGACAGAAAGAGATACACTTAAAGACAGAACATCTGACTCTTTAAACCTACAAAGATTATGCACGCGATCTGTTTGCCTTTCGTTATCTGTTCTCCCAACTGTCACTCCGATGAGTTCCTGCAGTTGATCTTCTTTCATAATTCAATTTGGGTAGCATTGGTGGTGTTCGCGGCTAACGCGTCGTCTTTCACCGCTGTGAGTCCAACGGGTCGGGTCGCTGGTTCGAGCCCGGCGGTCTTCACATGTGAATTGAGTTTGTGTGATGTGTTGTACTCTCCTATGCTACGAGGGTTTTTCTCCAGGTTCTCTGGTTTTCCTCCCTCCATAAAAATCAACATGTGAGTTGAGTTTGTTTGATGTGTTGTTCTCTCCCTTGCCACGAGGGTTTTTCTCCAGGTTCTCTGGTTTTCCTCCCTCCATACAAATCAACATGTGAGTTGAGCGTTGTGTGCATAGAATATTAAATGTAGTGGTAGTGCGTGTGAGTGAAAAGTGTCCTCAATTAGTGCGAAAGCGCTAGAACGACTAGGCACTTAAATAAAAGTGATTTTCCCCCTGTATTTTCAGTTAAGTTAACTGACAATTTGTCATTGTAATAAATGTACTACCTACAACCATATTATTATTTATGCATGACCTGAAGGTTCGCGAACTAATCAATAATTCATCCTATTCTGCTTACTATTCTTGTACCCATACCCAACTCATTTGCCAAAACCATTAAATGTTCAGTAAAATGATTTAGCAGATTTAGACGTCATTTCCAAGATGGCGTCTATTTCGTCCCCTAAAACAGCCCCACAATGCACTGCAAATCCAATTCGACCCAGTCTCTTACTCAACTTCGTGATTATTTTAATACTTTTATAATAGGGTTTGGGTACGAGAATGACTGCTTACCGGTCCAGTAAATGTCATCAGCTAGTTTTCCAATCATCAGACACAGATTTACCAGAGTTTCAAAGAGTTCTTAGTAGCTTAATGCTAGCAACGCCAATTCTTCCAACCACTTTCCACTATATTTATGTAAGGCCCCGTCCACACGTGTCCGCAAATTTTTGTGTCCGTATCCGCAAATTTTACGAAAACGGACACGTGTGGACGGTGAAAACGATTCGAATACGCTGCGTGTGGACGCAAACATTTTCGTATCCGCAAAAAATAATTTGCGGATACAAAAATTTCCGGATACGTGTGGACGGGGCCTAAAACTCTATATCTTATTATAGTACAAACACTATAAGTGTCAGTAGAGTGAAGTCATTAAACCCGTGAAATAGATATTATACTTATACACATTAGTAGACCCTAATTCCATTGTTTTCTTTTGTGTCTATTTTACTCTTACACGTTTGACCGCTTCAAAGTGAATTTWAAAAAATGGAGTGGAAAGGTTTGGAAACTCCATAGAACAAAGCTATTGTTTTGCCTTTGATGTCGAATCGTACCATCACGTGTTACTGACAGTGCACAATGAACCAAAGCAAGTATGGCTGAAAATGCTCAGTTCCTTATTATTTTCATGTATGAACACTTTGTGTAAAAACTTTCATTCGATGACCAAAAACCATGCGAATAAATATTTCCGCTCAGCCTGATACAGTTAAGTTACTAGATGATAAATAAGAAAGCATTAAAAAGGGCAATTTCATTTTTAATAAACAATTAATATTAATCATATAGGATTAATTAACAAATAATACATATTTTAGAACGATTGTTAAGGGTAAAAAACTTTTATATTTCCTATAATACTGTGAACAAATAACCATTAACTATAAGGTCCTGTTCAGGCACCTGAAAATGTCCACTGTAATAGCTGTGAAATATTTCGATAAGGAAAAGCTATAGATCAAGAAACAAGTTTTGTTTTTGTTTTGTCATTAGCCCTAACTGCTCCTTTTTGTAATCTAAACACGGATTTTATAGGTATTTTTAGAAAAACAATTGTATCGTCAGTGGTAAATATGCTTTAATTTGAACTTTTCTAACTCAATGTACACYAGAACCATAGTTTTTGAAGCGGAAAGGTTAGGAAACCTATTGTTCTATATTTTTGTTCGTCTTTATCCATTGTTAAGGCCCCGTCCACACGTATCCGGAAATTTTTGTATCCGCAAATTATTTTTTGCGGATACGAAAATGTTCGCGTCCACACGCAGCGTATTCGAATCGTTTTCACCGTCCACACGTGTCCGTTTTCGTAAAATTTGCGGATACGGACACAAAAATTTCCGGATACGTGTGGACGGGGCCTTAATGACGTTGACAGTGCACAGTGAAGGAAAAGTTTCTCCATTTGTTCACAGTATAAGGGAATATAAAAGTTTTTTACCCTTAAAAATCGTTCTAAAATATGTATTATTTGTTAATTAATCCTATCTGATAAATATTAACTGTTTATTGAAAATGGAATTGCCCTTTTTGATGCTTTCTTATTTATCATCTAGTAACTTAACTGTATCTGCGCGGAAATATCTATTCGCATGGTTTTTGGTCATCAAATGAAAGTTTTTACTTTCAAAGTGTTCATACATGAAAATAATAAGGAGATGAGCACTTTCAGCCGTACTTGCTTTGGTTCATTGTGCATTAGACATCAAAGGCAAAACAATAGCTTTGTTCTATAGTGAGTTTCCAAACCATTCCACTCCATTATCTATGCTAGAACAATCTACCAGTGGCTAAAATATGAGCTTTAACCTCAACGTATGTATGAGGAAAGTTATAACGATCCGCTTCAAACAGTATAGATTTGCTCGGCAAATTTTCGAGGTCAGGAAGATCGTTTTTTTGAATTTCACTACTTTAATATCTCCCAAAAGGTTTTATATTCATATATGAAACTTTGAGCACACCTTATTTGTTTACTGCGTTCTCGTTGCAAAATTTGAGGGAGTTTGAATGCTTCACATTTCGAAAGTCATTAACGTTTCTCTTGAGATGGTCATTTTTAAATTCAGGGGAAGAACGAAAAAATCCGGAAGTTATATGTAAAGGAAATTAGATGATCCAATTTAGAACTGAAAGACAAGCAATGTAGTCAAATGTGTGCGGAAATAAGGAAATAACTCGCCAAAAATCAAGTCCGAAAGGTAAAACAGAAAGGCCTTATTAGCCTTTTGCTTTCTTCATTATATATTGTCCAAAACAAGTTTGTTTATCGTTGTTACGAATTTCACTTTCCAGCATACAGATTTCAATTCGCTTTTATCAACTTCCTGTTTTACAAGCTGTCCACAGGAAGCCCAGTACGTCAGAATCACTATCAGTCTCGAAAATATCCTTAAGCACTAGCAAATTTGGCCCACGATCACTGCCACAATATTAAACATTCGATTCACACAGCTCTTGTCTTATATTTTGATTTTTTCGGAGGGAGGAAAACCAGAGAACCTGGAGAAAAACCCTCGTGGCAAGGGAGAGAACAACACATCAAACAAACTCAACTCACATGTTGATTTTTATGGAGGGAGGAAAGCCAAAGAACCTGGAGAAAAACCCTCGTGGCAGGAGAGAGAACAACACATCAAACAAATTTTAATCGTTTACGAAGTCGGTGAAGTCGGATAACTGGAAACTGAATTTTAATTTTAACAGAAAAAAAAAGTTTTTCAAAAGAGAAAAATAGGGGGGGGGGGGGGAACCTCCCAGTCGCAAACACAGAAATATATCTCTTTGTAAATTTACTTTTATGTCGAAATATTCNGGTGAAGTCGGATAACTGGAAACTGAATTTTAATAATAAAAAAAAAAAAAAAAAAAAAAAAAAAAAAAAATAGGGGGGGGGGGGGGGGGGGAACCTCCCAGTCGCAAACACAGAAATACAACTCTTTGTAAATTTACTTTTATGTCGAAATATTCTGTAAGTTTGTTTAGACTAATATAAAGTTTAACTAACGTCCAGGCCTTGGGTCGCGACGCACTCGTTTGCGAAAGAGAAGACAGGAGACATTGGTTTTGGAATAATTTTGGCCGCGCTAGTGGCAAGTTTAATAATCAATAAACCTATATAATCGTACAAAATAACACAAGCCAAAGAAGCGATGTCTTCGGCAAAGGTGGGGCGAAAATAAACACGCCACACCTAGGATAACTAATTACGATAATCCAACAGGTAGGCAGCGGGGGTGGAGGGGGGAGAATGATAGAAAAGAGACCTCGTGGTACTTAGACGCGCCTTAAGTACTGCTACGTAACAGCATTCATGCATCCTATTGGTCGATCTGGGATATGCGGATTGATCTAGTTGGATTACCGGATCTAACAACAGTATAATGTTTTGACATAAATGTCATTTTGCTGTCAGCATAATGTTCTGTTTTAGATAACTGATATGAATCATTCTAAAATAAACTTCAAGTTCTTCCTTCAAAGCTTGGTATTTAAAAAAAAACAACCAGAAATATCGCCTTTCAAAACTCAATGGACATAAAATAAGCATTCTTGGACTGGTCTAAACACCATCATTCTGATATTCACGCAAAGCCAGTTGCATGGGAGTAATGACGTCACGACAAAATTAAAAATATCAAACGCAATGCATTCTGGGATAGGTTTCACTCGTCCCCTGACTTGAACCAATGATAGCTGCGCGGAAATGCGGTTTATCCAATTACAATGAACCTACGATCGCGGCACGGCTTATCTGTTTGAGCAACTATATTCAGTGTCAGTTCTAGTTGACAAGCTGACTCATTCAAGCGTCCAAGGTTTGYTGGTGAACCGAGTTCGTAATTGTTTCCTTTAAGAATATGACTTCCACGGGGTCCAGTCTCGTCATTAACGTAGAGCCAGGTATGAAACTGTTTATCACTCCTACGCCGATTTCAGAAAACTTTGTCGGTCGAAGATCTGAAATCTGAGATGGAGTCACACCTCTGAGTTTAAAATGTGATTTTTCATATTTTAGCCATAAAAAATTAAAACACAAGATCAGATCAGATAGAATCAGATCGCACATTTCAATCCGACCGACCGGTTAACTTTTTTGAATATAAAGGAGTTTAGATATGGCATGGTACATAAAAAAAGATAGATACTAGCTGTTGCATAATGTAAATGAAACGCTATACATGTGAAAATTTTCACATATATTTCACTATCATTTTAATTTCACATATTCATGTGAAATTAATAGGATCTATTGTAATTGGGGAAAACCTGTAGTAGATTCCTAGCCTCTCTTATTTGATCTCTTATTATTCAGCGATACATTTTGTAGTCTCAGTTTCTTTAACCCACTAGCTATTGATAGCCTAAGAGTTGGCTATAAGTAAAATAAAAGAAAAAGAAAAAGAAAAAAGAAAAGAAAAAAACCCGTGAATAACACGTGAAAAAAACATGTGAAATAGGGTGGTCCTTTTTGAGAAATACTGTAGTATGTTTCACATACTATTAATCATGTAAAACTGGTTCAGTTTTCAGATGCTGTTTTTCACTCATATGCCGATTTCAGAAAACTTTGTCGATCGAAGATCTGAAATCTGAGATGGAGTCACACCTTTGAGTTAGAAATGTGATTTTTCATATTTTAGCAAAACAAAAACAAAAAAACAAAAAAAACAAGAAAATCCGTTTTAAATCAGATCGCACATTTAACGTTTTTTGAATATGAAGAAGTTTAGATATGGTATAGCAAAAATAAAATCGATACTAGCTGTTGCATAATGTAAATGAAACGCAATACATGTGAAACTGGGGTTTTTTTTCATATTCTTTTCACAATCAATTATTTGAAAGAAAGTGAAATTGACATCATCAATTTGTTAATGATGTGAAATGTATATGTGTATATGTGGACATATATATAAAGATAKCTAATTATTGATAATTATTCGCCGACTGAGGCAAATAATTGTTTTAGTATAAATACACATAAATACA